TTGGTGCCACTGCGGGAGTTGCGACCCATTGGTTCACCGATCGTTCAGGCATAATGATAGATTTGTACGGCGTGATTTTTTGATAGCAAGACTTTTGTTCGTCGAGCAAAGGCTCTGCTTTTCAATTTCCTCTCGAGCCCAAAGTAGCACCTGTTGTTCTTCTCCAGACTGACATTATTGGTGGTGTTAATGCTGTATCCTAAGTAAAAAAATTCCTTCACTAATTCAAAGTTATGACTGCCAACAGTGACGTATTTCCGGAGGTACAGGACCTTGTATGCAGTATTAAGAAGGCCTATTCCACGATAATCGGCGCAAAGTACACTGAGATTCCTATCTTCGGGTATGCATTCATCAGACCAAATTCTGCTTAATAGCTAGTACATGCGCCCGGCCAGCTCTTCGCCACCGGCTTTGAGCAGCTCAGCCGATATACCGTCGGTTACGGGGGCCTTTTGGTTTTTAAGCCGCCATATTGCTGTGCTCACCTCGTCTTGGTCAATTGGAGGAACGTGAGCTTCGTCCCTATACATTGATTCGGGTTCTTATTCTTCAAACGCGCCACCTGCGTTGCCATTCCGAAGCCTTGAGAAGTGTTCCCTCCACATCTCAAGTGTACTCTGGACATCTGTTCCCAAATTTTCATCTTGATCTCTACAGGTACCAGCCCCAGTCTTGAAACCACTTGATTATTTCCTCATTTACTGATAGAATTTTGGAGCCGAATTCCTGTCTGCCTACAACTCTTCGCATTCACGTGTTTCTGCCTCTCGTTTATTTCTTTTGAATAGACGTCTCTCCTCCCTCATCTCCCGGTACCGTTCCACTGTCGCCTGCGTAGCTATTGCCTGCAGGGTGGCTTTGTATGCAGCGTATTTCTCTGCAATTTCTTGTTTAAGAAGGATTGAGAGTCGATTGCGAAATTTCTCGACAAACTTTCACCGCGTTGCCGGACACACGTTCTTCATTACACAGAGGCTCATGCGGACCTTGGCTGAAACAGGGTAGTGTTCCGAGTTGATGTTGGCTCCTCGTTTAGAACGCACATCAAGAACGCTTGAAGCGTATCTTCCGTCTACCACAACATGATCTATTTGGTTCTAAGTTCTTTGATCAGGGGACACACATGTGGCTTTATCGATGTTTCGATGCAGGTGTCTGGTACTACTAACCACCATGTTCCGTGTCGCGGCAAAGTCGATAAGCCTCTCTCCGTTGTTGGAGGTGTTGTCATGAAGGCTGAAGTTTTCGACTGTTGGACCAAAAATGCCTTCGTTGTCCACACTGGCGTTAAAGTCGCCCAGTACGATTTTAATATCGTGGCGGGGCAGGGCTCATATGCTTCACCTAAACACTCGTAGAACTGCTCTTTGGATTCATAGACGTCACGTTGTTTAATTTGGCTTTGAAGCGGATTGCGGCAATTCGTTTACTGATCGGAGTAAACCTGGAGACGAGGTGTCGTAGTCTCCGCCAAACCACAAATCCCAAACCAAATTTGTGCGCCGTCTCATGGCAGCTGTAGTAGATATCACACGCTGCATATTTCATGCAGCCGTGCCCCGTCCATCGCAATTCCTGGATTACAGTGATGTCAGCCTTTTATTTTTCGAGGACATCCAGTAGTTGGAGGCACCTTGCCTATAAAGGGTCTAAGCCCAGCGCACAACCTTATCTGGGACACTACAAAAAATAATATCCAGTCAGAATTTTCCTACAACATATGCCGTCAGTCGCCGAAGAAGAATACAACGTATTTTACGAATGTTGAAAGATGTTGCCCTTGAAAGCAGTCGAACTCATACTGTCCGTCTATTTCCTGTCAACAATTTTCTTGTGACTGGTGGATCAAACAGCGTGGGCTCATATATGAGCCATTATTTTTCAAGTCGGATGGATTTCGTAAAAAAATTATGCCATGTCTCCGATTCGCTTCAATCTTTTTGGTGAGTTCTGTACATGAAATAAGCTAACATGCTCGAGAAATTTTTTTCTTCTTTTTTTTCTTCGGAGATATGATCTGTCAAAGTTTGCATTTTTTCGTGATTCTGACTAATTATGTACTTTTCAAATGGTATTATCTCAGGTTCTGCTGATCGTAGAGACTTCATC